CTCTGTGATCCCCTCCCACCCCCTCTACTTGACTAAACACCTTCTCACACTTGTTGTAGTGGCGAGAGAGATCACGGGGGCGTGTAGCTAGACTAGACAAAATATGGACCGAAACGACAACCGCAATTTCTTGTTTGGGTTAATTTACATGTAAATCGTTATATTGATAAGTTACTTCAGGTGTAGCGGAGTAATTAAAATTGATTAACATGTATTTTTCTAAATCCTTTATTTTTGCTTTAAAAATATACATAAGTGAGACTAGACTACTCATATTTCCCCCAAATCTTCAAAGACTGAAAAATATCGTTGATGGAAAATATTGGATAAGATTTCCTATACCCTGCAGGCGTGACGTGGCGTCACCATTGTAAATTTAAAAAACAAACAAGGTTGCATGTAACAATTGACAATACCTCTTTGTGGGGTTATAAATCGCGTCGTTTGAAATTGATATATAATTGATAATTCTGCTTAAAATACTAATATATTGTCTTGTTAGGAGAGACACATTTCTACTTCCACTAAAATGTTTCAACAACTTTCAATCAGTTATTATCGAACAATTACAATATCACACAATATAATGTGATAACACAATGACAATTGAACGCTGTGATACTTCATATATAATTCATTCAATGAACCAACATCAAACAGGCTTCAAATTGCTGGAATAAAAGTCAACGCAATTGTTGAAACGGAATATTAAATCATATTTGCTGTTTTCTGATTCATATTATATTTGATGAATAATGAATAAACGCACCCTTGAATCCACAAACAACAGACAATGGTGCTTATTTCATTAATATTCTTGGTGATTAGATCGCCGTGCGTTCTTCCAGAGAACAGTGTATGGGTATTGCTCAGGGCACTGCCAAAGAGAAAGGGACAGTTTCCAAAAACAGTAATTATCATATTAATTTACTTGTAAAAGAGCAGAACAAAGTTCGATGCGTGTTTCTGATTAAATGCAGGTGGAAAAATTATATCTGTAGCAAAGAAATTAAAAAAAAAAAATTCAAAATATTTGAGCTTTTCTAAATTGGGAGCAATTAAAAAAGGAAGCCTTGTTGGCTGAAGCCTTGTAACCTTCTGGAAAAGGAAAAAATATTTTGCTTAGCCCAAAAATTTAATAAAGAGAACTAGGAAATAAATTAAGAATTGACGTCATTTCAATTTTATACAAAAATGTTCAAGTTAGATAAATTGTTTTATCCCACGATTAATGTGTTATCTGTACAATAACAGCTATTGATATTTCTGATATTATTGAAATCCGTGTGATATTTTCCAGAAAATCGTTTATCAAACTCATATGCGTGTGATATCGTTTATCCCACGCATATCCGTGTGATATCACATTTGCATTTCGTGCAACAATATTGTTGGAAATTAGGTCAGATAATTTATTCTCTTTTGAGAAAATAGCTCCGTTAATTTTTTCTATTTAAGTTTCATCGGTGTATTGAATTACGATTGTGTATATAATTTGATTAGAAGGCTGCTTAATAACGATTAAAAATGGTATTTATGACGAACTATATCATGTACAGAAAGTAGTGCACATTACTGCGCAGTGGCCAGTGCAAATTCGTCTGACGAAGAATTGGCGAATCTCTAGTTTATATTGTCTGCCAATGTCCTGGAAATTGGATCAGAACATCACAAGGTGATTGTAATCATGGGATAAACCCAATATCACATAATTTCTCGTGATATCATTTTATCGCCTCGTAGATATCAAATATCAACACTCATTCGCTTCGCTCACTCGTGTTGATATTTGATATCAACTCGGCGATAAAAATGATATCACTCAAAATGATGTGATATTCTGTATATACAGCATTGAATATTCACATTTTAACTATATGAAATGTTCTATGGTGTTCCCATGTGTAGAGATCAGAAAATATTCTCTGTAATAATTTCACAGGTATTGCCCCATGTCGGACTATGCCCTGGGGTTGATGTGTATTAAAATAGTTGACAAGGCAACGTGTAAAATGTCACCATCTGCCATTTGTCACACACGCCAAACGCCAACCGGCATGCACAAAAAGAGACTATAAACAGTGTGTCACCACTTCTGGTGGTGACATAAAAAGGTACATATTACAATACAAATATACCAATTAATAATTCTTAAAACTTTTTCTCAATTCATGCCAGTCTTCATTCAAATGGATAAGAGTAGGTAATTACCCAGAATTCAAAGACGAATCTATCTTCATGTTGATATCACATACAAGTCCATCTTTGAATTCTGGGTTAATTCCCACTCTTAGCTTGAATTATCAATTATCAGTCGGGATTTTCTTTCTGTCATTTAGTGAGGAAAAACTCGCCACATATTGACATTTATTTCACGTTGGTTAAATGTCATATTTGACAACCCACAGATTGCAACCGGCATTTCTATGCATCAAAGATATTTTAGTATCAACTATACGGCAACGTCACAAAACAATATGATTACTTTTTCAATCAAATGAAACTTTGATGTACACATATGTCATTTTGAAGTTAGAAATACCAGATTGATAAGAAGTTAATTTCAAATAAATGTGTCATTGATTTCATTAAGTGATTAACTAAATCTTTGAACATTAACATGATTGTATTTCACATTGTTACTTTCAAAAAGTATCAGAGTACTTAGCTTGAAACACTTTGAAACATAGAAAATGTAAAATCTGTTAATAAACATGGTACAAATCAAAGGTTTTATATTTTTCAGATTCATTAATTGATTGACAAAGCAATCAATGCCATTTTATCCTATTGTCAAAAAGAGACTATTGTCACATACTGATGAGTAATTATGGACTATTAATTAAAGGCCCTGTGTAAAATTTAATGCACATTGTCAAAAATAGACTGCAGTAAAACCTGCCTTAGTGAACACAACTCATTAGTGAACACCTCTCTTCAGTGAACACACTTCCTCCGCACATACTCCATTGACTTGCTGTATAAATTACCCTCATTGTAGTATGCAATAATGTTTCATACTGAGGAGTACTTATGTACTGTTATTTAAAGGCCCTGTGTAAATATAAAAGCATTCTGGCTATTATTACCCATTGATGCAATGCACCTGTTCTATTTCAAGAAGCATTTACATGTTAAGAAATTTTGTTCAAATTAGAGTTATTAATTTTTAAATGGTTTGAAATCGCTTAGCTTATTTAATTAATTCTTGGAAAGATGCTGCTTTCAATCAAATTAAAGTTTTTTTTACAATTTACAATGCATAGTGGCTTATCATCAAAGAAGCTAACATTTTAAATGTGTGGGGAATTCAAATATTAAAAAAATTAAGATCGAGCAACTTTTTCAAAAAAACTAGATAATAAAGTATTCGAATGGAAACAAATATTTTCAAAAAATTACCATTATATCACCAATTTTCAAAACTTTCTTCACTTTCCTGCACACCATTTTGATCTATGAAGACAATATTCTAAAATTTAAAAAAATTTAAAAAGGTTGCTTGCTAGATTTGATTTGTGCTCAATTAAACAAAGTCTGTATTTTATATTTATACATTATATTTATAAATACATTCACATATTTACACAATCTCCTCTATATTACAATGTTTAATTTTATTTATATTCACAATTAAAATATTAATTGATAATAATACACACACATGTATAACAATGGTGTTTTAGATACAGTTTTTTCCTAATGTCAGCTCCAAATGAGATTTTGTCCATCTTTAATATAACTTTAGTATAACATCCACATCCTTCTGTTGGAACTGACCATCATTTCTTGTGTTGAGATCCTAGTATCAAGCACGACTTCAGACTGACATAGCATAACCTGAAAATAGAAAGAGTTCCCATTTACATGCAATTTTTGCAGACTGTTAGGAGAAAATGCTGATTTCTGACTGACGTAGCATGGCCTGAAAAGAGAAAGAGTTCTCATTTACATGCAGTTTTTGCAGACTGTTGCGAGAAAATGCTCAATTCTGATTGTGGTTTATAGGTTTCTAATTTTTGAAGTTTTGAAAACGTGAATATTAATCCACATATATGGCAAAATATAACAAAGAGATAAATATTTCCTATATCTGAAAAATTGCTGCATTTTAGTTTTGATCAAACAAAATGTGTTCAAATTTTGAGGTTCTTTAACAAAGTAATATATTGCAGTTTAAAGAATTAAATCCCTATAAACAGTATAAATGAAGCAGCTTAAACTCTGACCTTGACAATATTTACACAAAATATAGATATACATGTATGACAACTGAATTGAAAAGATATTCAACAAGCTATCAATCATTTGTCAATTGTCACATTTGAATTTGATCTCAAATCAAAATCACTCATCTAGGATCTATAAAAATGTGTGCTAGGAATTCAGTGACACTTATTTTTCCAACATTTGTAATTACTTTGCATTTGTAATCAATACTTTGACATTTCAATTTTGAAAAATAACAGTTATGTAACAAAAGCAACAATTTTATTTTCTGTTCACACAATATGTACAACTTTAACAATTAAAATGTGAATAATAATTACAACTTATGTAACCTTAACCATCATAATTAAGGACAGTGGGCTATTATGTATCATTACAAAAAAGTGATTTTCCTTATCAGTCCATTACATCACAAAATATGTACAAAAAAATGTGAACTCCCTTCGAAGAAATGTTACCATATGGGTCAGTTATATAGCATACAATAGGCATATACTATGACAAAATACAAGTTTACTTTTATAGTATAATGATATTACAGAAACAATGTATAATTTCCAAAAAACAATTTGTTCTGCTGAGAAAATGACATTAAATAATAAGTGACAAGTAAAATACGATGAGGTGCTGATTGGGGTGACATATTACATAAAAGCGCCCGGCTACTCATTTCTAGAATGGGTTATTTCAGAAACCTGGAATTTCCTACTTTTGTTCGTTTCTCAGATCACTTATTTTATTCTGTTTATTCTCATTTCTGCAGTGGAGCTCTTCAATTGGGAGGGGAAAACATGTTTTCTTAAAAGACCAACAGATTACCCTCAAAGTTTGCTCCAATCTCCATGTTTGGTTTAACATGGGACTTACAGAGTGGTATTTTCTACCAATTTTTTTTGTTCATTCTTTCGTTGCAAATGCAGAAAAAATATCAGAAATGAATCAAGACTTTTGCATCTTCTCAAATGAATTATTTTCCTCTAATGTATCTTTCATGGTACAGTGTAAACAAAGACTTGAAGTGGTATCATATTTCAGAAATAAAGATCAGTGGGAATGTGATGTGCTCGGTTCACTGATCACGATTAATGAAAATGTAAAAATACTTCAAACATTGAATTGTTAGTTTCTGGCATTATTAGAGAATATTAAAGACCATTATACCTTGTGGTTTCACGTTGAAAATAAACAACCAAGGAATATGATGATGCTATCAAAATATCAAATTGATGTGAAATTCTGATAGGAGATAACTTGTGTGAAATGAAACTGGTGCACACAAGGATTTTCCATAGTGGAACTCTCAAAACCAAAGGACTAAGCTAACTAAGCTAACTAACCTGAGCTAAGAAAATGCTCAGATTGCATCAAATAATGTCTTCGAAAAAACATTTTTTCTGGGGGAACACACCCCGGACCCCCCCCCCCAAGATCAGACATCCCCAAGTAGGTGTACCAGCTCAAAATATAGCCCTTGCACCCATGGTTCTCCAGTCATTCTCTTCAATTGGGTGTTGTTCCTAAGTCATCCTCTTCAATGCAACAGGGCATTGTTCTTAAGTTATCCTCTTTAATATGGCACCGTTCTAAAACTGTTCTAAAGTGATTAGTTTCAATAGGGCATTGTTCTCAAGTCATCTTTTTCAACAGGGCATTATTCCCAAGTCATCCTTTAAAACAGGGCACTGTTCCAAAGTCATCCTTTTAACAGGGCATTGTTCCAAAGTCATTATTTTCAACAGGGCATTGTTCCCAAGTCATCCTTTTCAACAGGGCACTGTTCCCAAGTCATACTTTTCAACAGGGCACTGTTCCCAAGTCATACTTTTCAACAAGGCACTGTTCCAAAGTCATCCTTTTCAACAGGGCACTGTTCCCAAGTCATCCTTTTCAACAGGGCATCGTTCCAAAGTCATCCTTTTCAACAGGGCATTGTTCCCAAGTCATCCTTTTCAACAGGGCACTGTTCCCAAGTCATACTTTTCAACAGGGCACTGTTCCAAAGTCATCCTTTTCAACAGGACACTGTTCTAAAGTCATCCTCTTCAATAGGGCATTGTTCCCAAGTCATTCTGTTCAACAGAACATTGATCTAAAGTCATTCTTCTCAACAGGGTCTCTATTGGTCCAAGGGTGTTTCAAGAATTCCATCACTTAGCAAGGCTCAATATCGGAAGAAGAACAGGCTGGGGGATTTTCCCAACTTTTAAAAAATATTTTCAATTTTTTCAATAAACAGCTATTCAATGAATGGCTTGACCACTTTATATTTCCTTATTCATTTGCAAAAATACAAGTCAAACAACAAATTCCTAAAAAAAGTCCAGGCTTTATTATTTACCAAAAAATGACCACGATATGTGTATATTAATTGCTAAAAGTGGTGAAAAACATGTCAATTCTCACCGAGGACTTGATTAGCGCAATCTGTCGTTGGTTAGAGGCTATTAACTGGCCGCACATACAACCCTCTTACACAAGAGAATGATGTAGTATTTATTTACTTCATAATTTATCATCGTATGTTACAATATCTTTTTTCAAATATTGCCCCTTGTCTATATATTATTGTTATATAATTACCACAAAAGGGCAAAATAAAATGTCATATTTGATGTTATGTTTCATCAAAGACATAAGCTGCATGATAGAGATTTTATAACATATAACATTTGTATGATACCAATTATGTACTTTCTAAACATAGGGAAGATAAAGACTGCTTTCTAAATATACTTTGTCTAAAATACTTAAAGTGTCTTAACAGCAGACCTCCTCGTCAAAATTGAATTGCACCATTTAATGATGTAATTTTCTTTTGTGCCCCTGGGCCAGCGCTCACGTCCCACCCTGTAGTAGTTGGACAGGCACTTCAAACCCTGGAACTCTGGGCTGATGGGCTGACATATTAGTACCACTCTTTGACTGGTCTGTTATGTGGTTATCCCCAGTAATATGATCATGCAGTATAGGCACATTTTTAACTGACTCCCTCCCTGGGATGAGATTTGTGCATAAATCTTAGCATCAAATACCCTTTGCATTCGTTCAACTTCACTTCTTAAAAGAGAGCTTCATCTTCTTCTTTGTAGTTACACTAGACTCTAGGCACAGGGTAAGCATCGAATTTTGGACTTTTAATTTCCTATAAAATTCCCCACAGATACTAGGAGTGGCTGTTACAATATTACACGATTCAAACCTAATTTCCAATTTGCGATCAATTTCATGAGTGACAAAAATTGTAACTACTTCATCAAAGGTTAAAATGAAATGAGACAGTTAACATCTTTGGTAATACAAGTACAAATATATTCATTACGTTATAACACTACATTTTTGTTTCTACAATTGAATTTGTCACCCCTTAACCCGAAGATAATAATTTGACACTAAGGCCTTTGCACCCTGTAATTATTTTCACAAATTACATTTGTCTTACATATGACTATGTGTCATATAATAAACACATTCTGAGACCTTGTTGTAGGATATTGATATCCAATCACGATTATGTCAAGCACGTCATTACTTTCAAATTACCCTTTTCAATCAACTAATTCTAGTTCTCTTACACCCGCCCTACCCCTGCTCTGCTATCTTTCCAACTGCATGGGAAGAAACTGTGAAATTAAAACCAGAATAGAGGACATATACTGTACTCCGGTATTTTTCGTGTGCGATTTAGTTTCAAGTTATACGCGATTGTGGTAAAATCGCGAAAATTTATCTTCGCAAAATTGTCAATTAAATCCCCAGGGATTTGTGAAAATTTTATTACCTGGGACCCCGTTGCATTTCGTGTTATATAAAATGTTTGTCAAATGTTTTAAGGCGATAAATGGTATAATTAGACAGTTACAGTGGTTTATTTGATCAAATATACCAAAAAATTACAATGTAATAGAGGATAAATAGAAAAAAGCATGCATTTGTTCGACTTGGATTCTTAAAAGAGAACTACATGTTTTTATTCTTTCCATTCATAATAAATTCCTGATCTCATCAAGCCAATCAGAGTTCGTTGTCGAATTACGCATGATTTTTCTATATATGGCCATTTCCTCTGACATCATCACATAGTTAATGAGCATGGATTTAGCAAGTGTTCCTATTCCTGCTCACTGATTTGTTGACAATATGTCAGCGCGGTAGGATTGAAATAATTTATGGCCCGAGCTGTCACGGGCACCAGTTGTGGGAGCGGGGCTGCTAAACTGTAATATAATCTATACTGTACTGGTAGAGGGTGGTCTAGAGTCTGTGTACAGAGTAATCTTATCAGTATCAGAACTTTAAATTGTGGATCATAGTCAGAGTATATTAATTGTTAATACTGGTCTCTGGGCTTAAGGGTAGTTAGAACAAAGTCAATGCTTTATCATTGCACAATTATTTAAATTACTGAAATTATCACTCAAACGTTTGATTTTCATAAAAATAATTATATTCGATTTGACGTCAGCAGTCAGGACACAAAGATTATTCACAGTTTATTATCTGAAACAATTGTACACATTATGGTTCATCTTATACTATTATACATTTAGAACTCAAATTAACTGTTTTATAAGAGATTTGTCCATAGATCACACACCAGGGTAATGTCCAGTGCTCTCCTTATACATCGGACCATGGGACAAATCCGACTACTTTTGCTCTGGGCCGACCAGGATTGACAGACTGTCAGTCCGAGGAGATACCAAATTATGGTCAAAACTTCAGTCCGATTGTCCTTTTATCCTTCCCCAGGAATATGACTGTAATACAACTCATTGTCAGCAGTAAATTACAAAAAAACTTCAAATATTTCAAAATATTTTCAACAATTTACGTTTCCAGTTGGTGTTGTTTTTTGTTTTTCTTTTGGAGAGTAAAGGCACCACCTGGCGAGCGGAACTACTGTTCAAAAATTGAAAGTTTTTCAGTGTCTTTCAATTTGAGAAATGATAATGTTAAATATTTGGCTGTGGATGCGTTAATTCAATGCAGGAGTTATTGATAATCAGGTAAGGCATTGTAGTGTTATGGACATAAACGGCATTTGTATGAAAAATGAACCCCAAAGTTCATAACACAATCGAATTCCCGAGTGGCTCCAGTATTTTTAGATTTGTTGTAAAGCATGATTTTTTCGCGTACTGTACACCTGGCGAAATCGTGAAAAACACATGCAAGCAAATTCAATGTGTTTGACAGTCTATCTGGATCGCTGAGAATGAGAAGATACAGCATAAATACGAGTAAGCCTATGTAAAAATTGAATGTTACTCATTTCTTCCTTGACTGACAAGAACCAGTCTGGACTGGCTACTAATTAGAAGTAGTCAGTCCAGGGACTGGCTACTTTTGGTCTGGGCTGGTGAACTCTTCCAACTTGTCAGTCCGTTTGTCCTGTGACTAATTTTGCACTGGTAATGTCACAGTTTATAAGTGATTTGTCCCAAGATAACATATGAGTAACATCACAGTTTATAAGTGTCCCTAGATCACACACCAGTGTAACATGCTATAGTGGATGAGCTCGGACCATATTTTTACTCACACTATTGCATTTTTATAATTATGTTAATTATTTGTAGTTTATCATTTGCCATTGATTTTGAAAATAATAGGGTCTAGTTTTTCAGCCTCTTCGAATAATTGCCATGTATACCCCCCAAGCTACTTTTATGAGGGGGTAATACGATAAGCATCAATAATTTATGTTCTATATCTCCAATCAAATTTATATTTCTGGGGAGATGATAAACTACAAATAATAAACATAATTATAAAAATGCAATAGTGTGAGTAAAAATATGGTCCGAGCTCATCCACTACTATTATGCTAATTCAACAACACCATATTTATGATGTGACATTTACAAAATGAACCATTTATTAATATAAGGAGGTTGACTTCAATGTAATGTGTTGGAGAAGTAAATGGGGGGGGGCTCAACAGTCTTGAAACAAGACTAGACAATTCACAAGTTCAGCATGTTAGTCAATCAGGCTTTTTGATGTGACAATAAAGAGGCAATCAACCCATCAACATACTTTTCAAATATTGTTGGCCTTATTCACCTTTTTTAATCTAAATAAGATACTATTCATTTTTGTCTATTATCTCTATAGAAAATGTAAATGCAATTTACAAAATTGTTTTAGTTGAATACTTAAAATTCACAAAACAACAATAAATAAATAAATAGTAGTCTTGGGTCCAAAGTTGGTACAGCATGGACAACGAACAAGGCATTTACATGCAAAATGTCACCACCTGCCATTTGTTAAAGACACTGATCACCTTATGCCAAACACCGAACACCATTCACAAAAAGTTGGAAATTGTAACAAAAGAAATGATTTGAGTTATACAAAAGACTTTAATACATGTATATATATATTGACTTCAATAGTCATATTATTCGAGCCTCTTTCATGTAAATGCCCACATGGGGCAAAACAAATTACTAAATGAGATTTCTTTCTCACAGTACATCATATCCTAGGTTTATCAACCATAAATTGAATAGGAAGTGAGTTACGAAGCAACAAATTAACTGGGCCACT